GATGTTTTGTGAGACGGAGCCACTCTGTCACCCAGGCCTGGTGCAGTGGCATGATCTCGCTCACTGCAAGTGGATTCTTCAATGCCTCAGCCTCCGTGATGTGGAGCGTGGATTACAGGTCGGCGACGGCCCACCAATGCATTGCTAAGTTTTTGTATTTTTAGTACCGGAGACAGGGGTTCTGGCAGTCCATGTGGGCCGCAGGCTGGGAGCTCAACCGACTCTGACCTCATGGATCCCAGCCACCTCAGGGCCTCCCCAGAGGGGCTTAGGATTTTTACAAGTGGTGGAGGCCCCGGCACGCAGCCATTTAGACAAACGCGCCAGCAGCGCACCCATCTTATTCCCACAGGACCCAAGACCCTTTACTGGATTCTCACCGGCATGGTCACCCTGCCTAATCTTTTGCCCTTTAGTCAGATTGCATGAGTACCATCAGCTTTTTGCCTTTCCCTGTCTTACCAAGCAGAGAGTTCTCCAAAACTGTCTAGGATTCATTGCAGGACAGAGATGTGCTTTTGTTTTCTTGGACTTATGCTTAAATGTAGGGTTGTATCATGCTAATCCTACAATAAGGTTGGGCATCTTTAGGATGAGCTAAGCCTCTATTTTTAATTCAGTGGAAAGTAGATTTATGGACAAACAGCAAAGATTGGTAATGTTCACTGCAGCTTTCTAGCTGCTCTTAGCTTATCAGCTTCTACACAGAGACTGCCTTGTCAATTTCAAATTTTAGTTTGAACCACATTTAACCAATTCTTTTTTTTGTTTTTTTTTTTTAATTCGGAGTCTCACCGCTGTCGCCCAGGCTGCGCTCCACATGGCATGACTCCAGCTCCACTGCAAACTTCAGCCTCCTGGGTTCACAAGGGGATTCTCCTGCCCTCAGCCTCCCAAGTTAAGGCTGGGATTACAGGTGTGCACCCAGCCATGCCCTTGCTAATTGGTTTTGTTTTTTTTTTTTTTGTATGTTTAGTAGAGATGGGGTTTCACTATGTTGGCCAGGCTGGTCTCAAACTCCTGACCTCATGATCCACTTGCCTCGGCCTCCCAAAGTGCTGGGATTACAGGTGTGAGCCACCACGCCTGGCCAAAGACTCAAGTCAGTGCAATAAAAAAAGTACATTTCTGATCACATCTCCATTTCATCAACATTTACATATTTGTATTTCCAAGATATTCCATACAGCATGAATCCGTGAAGAATTAGGCTTCGACTAAGAATCTTTCTACATTGATCTCTCAAGTTTTTAGCAAAGGGTAAGTCACCTCTAAATGTCTTTCTTCATCTTCCTCTTTTTTTAGGGTTTCTTTTTATTGTGAGTTATCTGATGTCGAGAAAGCTTTGAGTTTAAGCTAAAAGCTTTTCCACATTGATTACATACAAAGTGTTTCTCTCCTGTATGGATTTTCTTGTGTTTATTAAGATTTGAATTATTGTTAAAACACTTTCCACATTCACCACATTCATAGGATTTCTCTCCAGTATGAATTTTTTTATGTTGATTAAGTTTCCAGTTAAGGCAAAAGGTCTCTCCACATTCATTACATGTAAAGGACCTCCCTACAGAAAGAGTCTGATGTTTAGTAAAGTTTGACTGATTTTTAAAGGTTTTTTCACAAGTCGTACATTGGTAAGGTCTCTCTCCTGTATGAGTTCCTTGATGTTGTGTTAGATCTGACAGACGGACAAAGGTTTTTTTACAATTACTACAAATAAAAGGTTTTCTTCCAGTATGGATTTGTTGGTGGCGAGCAAGATCCGTGCGCTGGGCAAAGGCTTTCTTACATGCATTACATGAAAAGGGCTTCTCTCCAGCATGAGTTTTCTGATGTTTATTAAGATTTGAGATGCTTTTAAAGGAGTTCCCCTTTTTATTGTGAGTTATCTGATGTCGAGAAAGCTTTGAGTTTAAGTTAAAAGCTTTTCCACATTGATTACATACAAAGTGTTTCTCTCCTGTATGGATTTTCTTGTGTTTATTAAGATTTGAATTATTGTTAAAACGCTTCCCACATTCACCACATTCATAGGGTTTCTCTCCAGTATGAATTTTTTTATGTTGATTAAGATCCCCATTAAGGCGAAAGGTCTTTCCACATTCATTACATGCAAAGGGCCTCCCTATAGAATGAGTTTTCTGATGTTTAGCAAAGTTTGACCGAAATTTAAAGGCTTTTTCACAAGTCGTACATTGGTAAGGTCTCTCTCCGGTATGAGTTCTTTGATGTTGTGTTAGATCTGACAGACGGACAAAGGTCTTTTTACAACTACTACAAATAAAAGATTTCTTTCCGGTATGGATTTGTTGGTGGCGAGCAAGATCTGTGCGCTGGGCAAAGGTTTTTTTACATTCATTACATGAAAAGGGCTTCTCTCCAGCATGAGTTTTCTGATGTTTATTAAGATTTGAGATGCTTTTAAAGGATTTCTCACAAACATCACACTTGTGGGGTTTCTCTCCTGTGTGAGTTCTTTGATGTAGAATAAATTTGGAGTATGGATTGAATTCCTTTTCACAATAATTACATGGATAATATTTCTTTCTAGTATGAATTGATCGATGTCGAGTTTTTTCTGAGAAACAGTGAAAGGTTTTTCCACAAAAGTTACAGGAAAAGGGCTTCCTTTGAGTATGAGTTTTTTGTTGCTGAGTCAGGTTTAGTCTGTTGGCAACATGAAACCTCTGATGTATAGAGAGGGATGAGAGAAACCTAAAGGCCTTTTGACATGCATCACATTTGTATGGCTTCAGTCCACGGTGTATGCTCTGATGTTGAATAACCTGTGAAGGTCTGTTAAAAGTTTCACCACATTGGTTACATTCAAAGTGTTTATATAGCGTACAAATTCTCTGGAGTATTGTAAATGATGAGCGATGCCTAAAGCCCTTTGTATTTTCACCATATTTGTGGACTTCCCCTACCTTGTGGATTTTCTGATGTCTAGTAAGTTGTGAGATATGCCCAAAAGCCATGCCACAGTCATCACATTCATAACGCCGGACAAAAGTACGATGTGTTCGGTATTCTCCATGGTGAAAGCTTTGTCTGAAGGCATTCCCAGATTCACTGAGGGCACGAAACGTTGCCAATGCTGGTTGACACGCTGTTAGGAAAACAATATGAGAAAAAAAAATCAGAACTGGACACTGCAACATATACCAAGTTAATTAGGAAAGTGAGGGAAAGAAGAGTGTAGTGACTGGAGACTTTAGAGGGGTAGGATGAGAAGTAGGAGCTTGTGGAGGTAGAGAGGCAGATAATTGCTTCTCCAAGTACAAGAATGATTTAAGTGATCAACAGTGGCCGTTGAATTTTTTTCTGTTTATTTAAACTTGAAATAATTATACTTGTGATTGCAAAAATGGCTCAATGAAATTTTAATAACCGAAGCAGAAAAGCTTAAAGAACCTAAAAAGAATCACGTGAAATCCTAAGCATGGATTTAAGTTTTGCTTTCATTAATGCCCTTTAAAATATTTCTGTGTGGTATAGCAATTTGTGAAAGTGATTACACTATAAATATTTTCCTTTGAATATCAAAATTGGGGATACTTATGAGTAAATATACATCTGTCTTATCAATTTGATATTTAATGTTTTACTGTGCGACAGGGTCATTATTGATTGGGTCAGTGTTCTATTTGGATATTTGAGTTGTACTTATTTTTGTTGTTGCTAAGAACATTAAGAACAATCTTAAATCTACATCTTTGTTAATTTGAAATATATTCTAGTACCAATGCTTAGAAATGAGAGTCCCAATTATATTTTTGGTATATACATGCACTGCACTCAAGTTCTTATATTGCATGAACATACCATTATTTTCCAGTATCTTGATAACCCTAGACTATCAAACTTACCTTTATATAAAACTGTGGTGTCATGAGTTCTGGCATTTTTTTGTAATAAAAACATCTAGAAACTGGTTAACTGAAGAAATTTGAGCATTCCTATACACATATGAATTATAGATTGAGCATTTCTATACACATACAAAATATATGTTAATACAGACAAAAATATCTGCCACTGATAAGATGGAGAACCAGCATGGGTTTCTGTTATCTTCCTCATTCTAGTCTGAAATGCTACTGAAGTGCTTAGAAAAATGTGTAGATATAGTGGAATATTTATAAATATACATGAGTAATATTTTCAAAAACATAAATATTTCAACATGGGACAGAATCAGCGGTAATAAGAGGGACAAAGTGGGAACAGTTGGTTTGAAGATACGGTTTTTAATTTTTTTTTTTTTTTGAGACGGAGTCTCACTCTGTCACTCAGGCTGCAATGGCATGATCTCAGCCCATTTCAAGCCCCATCTCCCAGGCTCAAGTGATTCTCCTCCCTCAGCCTCTCAAATAGCTGGCCAAACCATCACGTCTGGCTAATTTTTGTATTTTTAGTAGAGACGGGTTTCGCTATGTTGGCCAGGCTGGTCTCAAACTCCTGACCTCAAGCGGTCCAACTGTGTCGGCCTCCCAAAGTGGTGGCGTTACAGGTATGAGTCACCATGCCCACCCTGAAGATATGTTTAAATGAACTTAATGGTTGGCATTTATAGCAACATTATATAGCCAAAGATGAAACAGCAGCATGGAAAACCTGTTGGAGAATTCTTTTAGAGGGAAGGAACTGGAGAAATAGAATATGTAAAAGAAAAGTTAGGATTAAAAGAAAGTACTACCATCCGTTAAATGTGAGTCCTATTAAAAATGTGTAGAAAATTTGCCAACTTCATCATGTGGCCTAATGTCTGGGCAACTAGAGTCTCTGAAATAGAGGAGGAAAGAGGGTGGGGGCAGGGACCAGAAAAACATTTGAAGAAATAATGGGCAAAAAATTCTCAAACACAGTAAAAACTATAAACTCACATATCCAAGAAGCCCAAATCACACAATAAGAAACATGAAGAGAATTACACTAAGGCACATTATAATGAAATTGTTCAAAGCCAGCGATAAAGAGAAAACTGTAAAAGCAACCAGAGGGGGGAAAAAGACATTATGTACATGGCATAAAAACAAAGAAGACATCAGATTTCTCACTGGAAACACTGCAAGCAAAAAAGATAATGGAACAAAATCTTTAAGGTACTAAAAGAAAAAAAACAACAACAACCTATTAACTAGAATTCTATGCCCAGCATATGGCTTTCAAAAATGAAGACAAAAGACCTTTTCAGAAATACAGAGACTGAAAGAATTCATTACCAGCAGAGCTGCACTACAAGTAATTTTAAAGGAAGTCCTGCAGGGCAGAAGAAAAGGGATGCCAGATGGGAATTTGGCCCTGCACCAAGGAATGAAAAGTAACTGAAATTGTAACTGGTAAATATGTATGGGTTTATTATTAAATCTCTTTAAAAGGTTGACTGATTAAACACAAATAATGTATTATGGGGCTTATAACAGGTGAAAGTAAAATGTATGACAGCAACACCAGAAAGGCAGGTGGAGATAAATTATAGTATAATATATATAGTATAAGAATTATAATATAAGAACTACAGTATAATTCTTATACTCTACATGAAAGAGTACACTATCACTTGCAGGTAGATTGTGATAAGTTAAAGACAGATACTATAAACTCAAATCCTAATACAACCACTAAAATAGAGTTACAGCTAATAAGCCAACAAAGGTGGTAAAATAGAATCCTAAAAAAAAAAAAAAGAAAAAAAAAAAGAATCAATCCAAAATAGGGTAAGGATAATAAAGCAGAATAAAGGAGAAAAGGGGGAAGAACAGATATGACAAATAGAAATCTATTTGATTTAGGCTCAAGCCTAACCATATCAATAATCACAGTAAATGTAAAAATAAAAACACAAGGTTTCACAATCTGAGTCTTTGTATTAGAGAATTCTTTGTTATAGGGGCCGTCATGTGCATGTAGGATCTTGGCATCCCTGGCTATTACACCCTAGATACCAGCAGCATGCCTACATACCCAGTTATTACCACCAAAAAGATCACCCAGACATTGCCAGTTGCCCTTAGAGGGCAAGGTCTTCCCTTCTTCCCATTGAGACCCAGTGGTATAAGCACCTCAACGAAAAGGTGGAGATTATCAAGCTTGTATGAGAAAGTAAAACCTAATTGTTTGCTAACTACAAGAAACTCACTTTAGGGACACAATTGGTTAAAAAGTAGATGGATGGAAAATATATACCATGCTAACAGTTAAAAGAAAGCTAGAGTAGCTGTATTAATATCAGACAAAATACATTTTAGAGTAATAAGTATTTCTAGGGATAAAGAAGTTTATTTGGCCGGGCGCGGTGGCTCAAGCCTGTAATCCCAGCACTTTGGGAGGCCGAGACGGGCGGATCACGAGGTCAGGAGATCGAGACCATCCTGGCTAACCTGGTGAAACCCCGTCTCTACTAAAAAATACAAAAAACTAGCCGGGTGAGGTGGCGGGCGCCTGTAGTCCCAGCTCCTCGGGAGGCTGAGGCAGGAGAATGGCGTGAACCCGGGAGGCGGAGCTTGCAGTGAGCTGAGATCTGGCCACTGCACTCCAACCTGGGCGACAGAGCGAGACTCCGTCTCAAAAAAAAAAAAAAAAAAAAAAAGTTTATTTCATAAGAGTAAGGAATTAACAGAGCATAATTCTAAGTGTTTAATGCACCCACAGAACTTCAAAATACTTGAAGCAAGATTACCAGTGAAAGAATATACTCCAAGAATAGGAAACTAATTTTAAATAAAAGAACCCACTATAATGGATAACTAGAAAACCACACTAGTATAAAAAAGAATATTTTTACTAGTATAAAAAAGAATATACTCATACAGAACAGACAAATACACGAATAGAATAAAAAATTTCAGAAGATGATTTCTGTAGATATATATTTCTGATGGCTTGTGTGTAAGGATGGCATCATAAGTCAGTGAGGACAGGATGGATGCTTTGGTGGGTGGTATTGTAAAAACTGGCTCATTGTTCAGAGAAAATGGGGCTGGTTGTCCATTATGCCATATACAAATATAGACAGATTAAAATGTGAATTTTAAACCCGTAATGCTGATAGGGGAATGTCTTTGTGGTCTAGGATGCAGCAGGCTTCTTAACAACAAAAAGACAATAAGCAAACACTATAAGTCAAAAATATTATGGATGTGATCAAAAATGAAGGATTTCTGATCAAGAGAAGCACCAGAGTCAACAGGCAAATGACAGATTGACAGGAGTAATCATACATTTTAAGCCAAAAAATACCTTATATATAACATATAATTCTTCAATTCCACAAAGAAAAGAAAAAAAAATTAGAAAATGAGCAAAGAACATGAAGCAATTCAAAAAAGCTGAATAGTGAGTGGATGACAAGAATATCATGTGAGCTTCATCTTACTGTTAGGGAAATGAGAAGTAAAACAAGGAAGCAAAACTACCAAAATGGAGCCAACTAAAATGCAAATGTTAGCAAGCAGTGGTGAGATGCAGGAAAGAGAAGTTATGTGGATACAGTGTAAAATTCACAGATGTCCAGAAAGTAATCTGGGTATGTTTTATCAAACTGTTTATAATATGCCCTGTGACCTAGAAAATTGTTATAGATTCTAAAGGGAACACGTGAGATTTGGGTCAGAAGGAACTGTAGAGACTTAGGAAATTTTTTCCATAAAACTGGCTGTGTGATGGATGCATATTAAAGAATACTATATTGCACTAAAAAGACATTTAGACATAACATGTAAAGATTTCAGAAACAGCCAAGTAGAAAGGTAAGAAGTTAGATGTTTGCAGTATGCTGTTTAAGTAAGAGTGCAGCCATATATAAAATGGTGCATATTTTACAATTAGTATATGCATTTTTTATTTATTTATTTTTTAAGACAGAGTTTCACTCTGTTGCTCAGGCTGGAGTGCAGTGACACGATTTTGGCTCACTGTAACCTCTGCCTCCCAGGTTCAGGCGATTCTCCTGTCTCAGCCTCCCAAGTAGCTGGGACTACAGGCATGTGTCACCACACCTAACTATTTAACAATGTAGAAAAGATATTAGACCAGCTGTCTAGCACATAGAGAATGACATAATGAATTAGAAATGAAGGTTATACAAAATAATCATGGAGTCTTGACTAGAGCAACAGTGACAATTGATTGACTCAATTTTTATATCCCATTTCCAGCCCTTCCACTATCACATTGCCAGCCCTAAACAGGATACATGGTTTTGTTCAAATATGTCACAAAACAAAGTAAACGGATTTGTGTTCTAAAGCCACAAGGCGGCAGTGGAGAGGTCAGAAGAACGTCTTGCAGTAAATGTGAAAGTGACTATAACTTGATAGAAAAATGTTCAGGGGTGCATTAAAAAGTGGAAGTTTAAGGGAGAGAAAAGTAGTTTGGGGGTAGGAGAGGAGTTTGGACCAAGTTATTAAGTATTTAAAGAATAAGCAGGGTTATGTGGAATTCTTGTGAACAAGTCTTACAAAATCTTTAATAAGTGGATTCCAGTCCACTTTCCAAAATGGCCATAGCTTAAATGCATTTGGTATTTTATTCTTCAGATCAGATGGTACTCCAGACCGAAATTCATCATCATCTAACCCAGCTTTTTATCCCCTTTCAGGAGCCTATGAATGAGCTGCCTTCCCTGATGTCAGCACTGAAACTCGAGAAACAAGTTTCTCTGAAATCTCTGGATCATCTTACATTCTGGCAATTTCTGCCTTCTGTTAATGAAGGTAGTCATCTCTTTCCAACTAGATGGTAAATTTGTTTTTCTCATTTGTCATTCTCTAACCTAATAATCTAAAGAGAAAAAGTCTCTCTCCAGAATTTTCTTTAAAAAAAAAACACCTCCCATAACACTTTTCCGAGCTAACCCGTTCATTCATTGTAATCACTGACAAGCTTCCTGACCAATTCAGCTATTCATCCTTTTATCCATTTGGGTAGTAACTTAAATTCCAAACTTTTACCAGCACACCATTTACTGTCCTAAGACTAGAGTTACAACAAAAAGGGTACAGGGAGAGTGATAAATGTAGGATAAAGATTCCTTTGGAAACTCAAGGACAGAAGCCGAGGGGAAAGCTCTTCTCCTGTCACCTCTTGGTGGGGGTTGGAGGGGGAGTGTCCAGGTTAGTCTGAGCTGAGGTGTGAGCTGTGATGACTTCCATCTGCTTCTTACCTGGGCAGGGAACACCTGTCACTTCTCTCTCCATCATCCAGGGCTCTTTCCCTTGCTTCAAAGAGGACATCACGTGTGCCTTATAAGTCCAGTTTCCTAAGAAAAATAAATGATATTGACCATGCTGTGGTTATTACAGAATTTAGACCCACAT